TCAGTTCTGACGGCCCTGAGATCCCTTGGGCACGAGCGGTAACACACACTGGTCTTATTCAAATTTCAATAGTACATGGATTACGAAATCAATTAGAATCGACACGGCTGAACGTACAGGGTTGATTCCTTTTGAGACAGTCTCAGAATGGGCCAAAGTAGGTGCCAGAAGTGGACTGACAGCCGTGAGTTCCCTCAGTCACGAGTGGTAACACGTACTGCGCTTATTCAAATTTCAATAGTACATGGATTACGAAATCAATTAGAATCGACACGGCTGAACGTACAGGGTTCATTCCTTTGAGACAGTCTCAGAATGGGCCAAAGTCGGTGCCTGAAGTGGACTTACAGCTCTGAGTTCCCTCAGTCACGAGTGGTAACACGTACTGCGCTTATTCAAATTTCAATAGTACATGGATTACGAAATCAATTAGAATCGACACGGCTGAACGTACAGGGTTCATTCCTTTTGAGACAGTCTCAGAATGCCTTTGAAAAGCCCTTAAATCAGTTCTGACAGCCCTGAGATCCCTCAGTCACGAGTGGTAACACGTACCTGCGCTTATTCAAATTTCATTAGTACATGGATTACGAAATCAATTAGAATCGACACGGCTGAACGTACTGGGTTGATTCCTTTTGAGACAGTCTCAGAATGCCTGTGAAAAGCCCTTAAATCAGTTCTGACAGCCCTGAGATCCCTCAGTCACGAGTGGTAACACACACCTGGTCTTATTCAAATTTCATTAGTACATGGATTACGAAATCAATTAGAATCGACACGGCTGAACGTACAGGGTTAATTCCTTTTGAGACAGTCTCAGAATGCCTGTGAAAAGCCCTTAAATCAGTTCTGACAGCCCTGAGATCCCTTGGGCACGAGCAGTAACACACACCTGGTCTTATTCAATTTTCAATAGTGCATGGATTATGAAATCAATTAGAATCGACACGGCTGAACGTACAGGGTTGATTCCTTTTGAGACAGTCGCAGATTGGGCCAAAGTAGGTGCCTGAAGTGGACTGACAGCCCTGAGTTCCCTCAGTCACGAGCAGTAACACACACCTGGTCTTATTCAAATTTCAATAGTACATGGATTACGAAATCAATTAGAATCGACACGGCTGAACGTACAGGGTTCATTCCTTTTGAGACAGTCTCAGAATGCCTGTGAAAAGCCCTTAAATCAGTTCTGACAGCCCTGAGATCCCTTGGGCACGAGCAGTAACACACACCTGGTCTTATTCAAATTTCATTAGTACATGGATTACGAAATCAATTAGAATCGACACGGCTGAACGTACAGGGTTGATTCCTTTTGAGACAGTCTCAGAATGGGCCAAAGTAGGTGCCTGAAGTGGACTAACAGCTCTGAGTTCCCTCAGTCACGAGTGGTAACACGTACCTGCGCTTATTCAAATTTCAATAGTGCATGGATTACGAAATCAATTAGAATCGACACGGCTGAACGTACAGGGTTCATTCCTTTTGAGACAGTCTCAGAATGCCTTTGAAAAGCCCTTAAATCAGTTCTGACAGCCCTGAGATCCCTCAGTCACGAGTGGTAACACGTACCTGCGCTTATTCAAATTTCATTAGTACATGGATTCCGAAATCAATTAGAATCGACACGGCTGAACGTACAGGGTTGATTCCCTTTGAGACAGTCTCAGAATGGGCCAAAGTCGGTGCTTGAAGTGGACTGACAGCTCTGAGTTCCCTCAGTCACGAGTGGTAACACGTACCTGCGCTTATTCAAATTTCAATAGTACATGGATTACGAAATCAATTAGAATCGACACGGCTGAACGTACAGGGTTCATTCCTTTTGAGACAGTCTCAGAATGCCTGTGAAAAGCCCTTAAATCAGTTCTGACAGCCCTGAGATCCCTCAGTCACGAGTGGTAACACACACCTGGTCTTATTCAAATTTCATTAGTACATGGATTACGAAATCAATTAGAATCGACACGGCTGAACGTACAGGGTTGATTCCTTTTGAGACAGTCTCAGAATGGGCCAAAGTCGGTGCCTGAAGTGGACTGACAGCGCTGAGATCCCCCAGTCACGAGTGATAACACGTACCTGCGCTTATTCAAATTTCAATAGTACATGGATTACGAAATCAATTAGAATCGACACGGCTGAACGTACAGGGTTCATTCCTTTTGAGACAGTCTCAGAATGCCTGTGAAAAGCCCTTAAATCAGTTCTGACAGCCCTGAGATCCCTTGGGCACGAGCAGTAACACACACCTGGTCTTATTCAAATTTCAATAGTACATGGATTACGAAATCAATTGGAATCGACACGGCTGAACGTACAGGGTTGATTCCTTTTGAGACAGTCTCAGAATGGGCCAAAGTAGGTGCCTGAAGTGGACTGACAGCCCTGAGATCCCTCAGTTACGAGTGGTAACACGTACCTGCGCTTATTCAAATTTCAATAGTGCATGGATTACGAAATCAATTAGAATCGACACGGCTGAACGTACAGGGTTCATTCCTTTTGAGACAGTCTCAGAATGCCTTTGAAAAGCCCTTAGATCAGTTCTGACAGCCCTGAGATCCCTCAGTCACGAGTGGTAACACGTACCTGCGCTTATTCAAATTTCATTAGTACATGGATTACGAAATCAATTAGAATCGACACGGCTGAACGTACAGGGTTCATTCCTTTTGAGACAGTCTCAGAATGGGCCAAAGTCGGTGCCTGAAGTGGTACTGACAGCTCTGAGTTCCCTCAGTCACGAGTGGTAACACGTACCTGCGCTTATTCAAATTTCAATAGTACATGGATTACGAAATCAATTAGAATCGACACGGCTGAACGTACAGGGTTCATTCCTTTTGAGACAGTCTCAGAATGCCTGTGAAAAGCCCTTAAATCAGTTCTGACAGCCCTGAGATCCCTTGGGCACGAGCAGTAACACACACCTGGTCTTATTCAAATTTCAATAGTACATGGATTACGAAATCAATTAGAATCGACACGGCTGAACGTACAGGGTTGATTCCTTTTGAGACAGTCTCAGAATGGGCCAAAGTCGGTGCCTGAAGTGGACTTACAGCCCTGAGTTCCCTCAGTCACGAGTGGTAACACGTACCTGCGCTTATTCAAATTTCATTAGTACATGGATTACGAAATCAATTAGAATCGACACGGCTGAACGTACAGGGTTCATTCCTTTTGAGACAGTCTCAGAATGGGCCAAAGTCGGTGCCTGAAGTGGACTTACAGCTCTGAGTTCCCTCAGTCACGAGTGGTAACACGTACCTGCGCTTATTCAAATTTCAATAGTACATGGATTACGAAATCAATTAGAATCGACACGGCTGAACGTACAGGGTTCATTCCTTTTGAGACAGTCTCAGAATGCCTTTGAAAAGCCCTTAAATCAGTTCTGACAGCCCTGAGATCCCTCAGTCACGAGTGGTAACACGTACCTGCGCTTATTCAAATTTCATTAGTACATGGATTACGAAATCAATTAGAATCGACACGGCTGAACGTACTGGGTTGATTCCTTTTGAGACAGTCGCAGATTGGGCCAAAGTAGGTGCCTGAAGTGGACTGACAGCCCTGAGTTCCCTCAGTCACGAGCAGTAACACACACCTGGTCTTATTCAAATTTCAATAGTACATGGATTACGAAATCAATTAGAACCGGCACGGCTTAACGTACAGGGTTGATTCCTTTTGAGACAGTCTCAGAATGCCCCTGAAAAGCCCTTAAATCAGTTCTGACAGCCCTGAGATCCCTCAGTCACGAGTGGTAACACGTACCTGCGCTTATTCAATTTTCAATAGTGCATGGATTACGAAATCAATTAGAATCGACACGGCTGAACGTACAGGGTTCATTCCTTTTGAGACAGTCTCAGAATGCCTCTGAAAAGCCCTTAAATCAGTTCTGACAGCCCTGAG